TTTTGCTTTTGTTACAGAATTTCAATTTTTTTTTTTTTTTTTACCCGGCTCAAGAAGCACTTTTTTTTTTTTTTTTTTTTATTTTTTTTTTTTTTTTTTTTAATATTCTTTTTGTTGTTGTTGTTGTTGTTTTGTCTTTTTGAAGCAGGGTCTGCTGTAGCCCCAGCTGTCCTGGAACTCACTATGTAGACCAGGCTGGCCTTGAACTCACAGAGATCCACCTGCCTCTGCCTCCCAAGTGCTGGGACTACAGGAGTGCGCCACCACGCCCGGCAGCAAGAAGCACTTTTTAAAGTAGCTATTTATTTTTATTTTATGTATATGAGTGTTTTGCTGGCATGCACACATGTGCACCTCATGTGTGCAATGCCCAAAGAGGTTGGAAGAGAGCGTCAGATCCCCTGGAGCTGGAATTACAGACAGTTATTAGTCACCATGTGGGTGCTGGGAACCAAACCCAGGACCTCTGCAAGAGCAGCCAGTACTCTTAACCACTGAGCCATCTCTCCAGCCCCTTAAGTTGCTTCTTATCAAGGAATTTGGTCAGAAATGAGAAAAGCAATTCATACATACCTCTTCTTCCCTTTATTCTTGTTCACCACCAAATTGCAACCACTTTCCTTTCTGAATTTTCTTTCTACTCCCCTATCCCCCAAGAAACATTAGCTTTTTTTTCTTTTTTTAAACTAAGTGCAAAAGATGCAACATGAGCAACTTCAGATGGGCCTGCCTCTGCCTCCCAAGTGCTGGGATGAAAGGCATATGCCACCATGCCTGGCATAGTTTTCTAAAAGTTTAAGTCTTTTGCTTAAGACTGTTAAGAGGCAGAGTATGAGCTGGGGATATAGCTCAACTGGCGGAGTGCTTGTCTAGCATGCAAAGAGCCCCAGGTTCAATCTGAGCACCTCAAAAAAACAGGTGTGTGGTACATGGTTGTAATCTCAACACTGGAAAAGTGGAGGCAGAAGGATCAGAAGTTCAAGGTCATCCTCAAATGCATAGGAAGTTCCAGGGCAGCCTGGGCTACAAGAGAGCCTATCTAAAAAAATTTAAAAATTAAAAAACAAAAAACCAAACAAACCAGAACTACCATAGTTACTTGTACTGGTTTGTGTTTTGTTTTGAGATGGAGTTATAGGCCTGTGGCACCATAGCAGGTTTTGTTACTCAGCATTGGGGATCAAAGCCAGGGCGTCATGCATGCGAGGCAAGCACTCCACCAACCAAGCTACATCTCCTAGCTCCTTACAGTTCATTATTAATTAGATAGAGTCTATACTATGTGCCAGATATTTAGAACATAGTGGTGAAGGTTATAAAGCCCCAACTACCTGCATTTAAATTCTGGAGGAAGGAGAAAGACAAGACAAAAGAGAGAAATTTTCTCTCACAAGATTTAAGACTCTACAAACCAGAAACAGGAAGGGATAAACAGGAAAAGATAGCATTCTAGAAGATATTAATACTCAAGGCTGTTGATACCTACCTCTGCAATACAAGTAAGGATAATCAGACAGAGCTTGCCACTGTGAAACCTGTGTTCATCTGTAAAGAAAAAAATAAATACTTCTCTAAACATAATCCTAACCACATATCAATAGAGAAAAAAGATGTATATCATAAAAAAGGAACTTATACTTTCTACAAAATTCATGATGAAGGCTGGGAAGATAGCCCAGTCAGTGAAATCCCTGCCTCTCAAGCATAAAGTTTCAGTTCAGTCCCCCACAACCCACATAAAAAGTTGCACATAGTTGCAGACTTATATTCCCAGCACAGTGCTGGGGAGACAGAGATAGTCCCTGGAGCTTACTGGCCAGCCAGCCAGCCAGCCTAACCTGCTTAGTGAGTTCTAGCCCAAGGTGAGAGGTGGAGAGTACCTAAGGAATGACACCCAAGGTTGTCCTCTGACATACATATGCACACATCCAAATTCACAAATCAAAATCCAGGTAGTACTAGAGTAAGTCTTGCTTCCAGCTTAGGCAAAGGAATTTCCCCCAGAAGACTTTTCCTCACCCTGGTCGCCTGTAAAGCCTGAGATGTAACTTTTTTTTTTTTGTGGAGACAGGGTCACCCGGTAGCCACAGCTGGCCTGGATCTCACTATGGAGATCATGCTAGCCCTGATCTCAGAGAGATCCACCCGCCTCTGCCTCCCACTGCTGTGATTAAAGGCATGCACCACCAAGCCCGACTTCTGAGATCTAACTGTTGTAGTCCTAATACCATATGCCATGTTTTTTGCTTTCACGTTAGCTGTTTGCTTATAGTCAGGTTCATTCCTTTACTCACCCTGTCATCAATCTGGCTACAACTCTACCATCTATACCCATCTACCACAAAATATACAATGATTTTAAGGGGCTAGAGAGATTGTTCTGCAATTAGAAGCACTAGCTCAGGTTCAGTTCCCAGCATGAACATGGTAACCAATAATCATCCATAACTCCAGTTCCAGGGGATCTGACACCTTCTTCTGATCTTAAAGGTGTTGCACACATGGGGCACTTACATACAATAGGCAAAACACACATACCCACCAGGCATGGTGGCACAGGCCTTTAATCCTAGCACTTAGGAGGCAGAAGCAGGCAGATCTCACAGCTTGGTCTACATAGTGAGTTCCAGGTTATCTGGGGCTACAGAAAGACTCAGTCTCAAAAACAAAACAAAACACACATACATGCTATAAAGAAAATAAACAAATAAACAAACAAACAAATAAACAAATAATTTTAACACTGTTCCTAGGAAGCTGGCAATAAAATCAGAAAGAAAGAAATTAACTGAGGGGGCTGGAGAGATGGCTCAGTTAAGAACACTGGCTGTTCTTGCAGAAGATCCAGGTTCAAATCCCAGCACCCACATGGCAACTAACACCTGTCCATAACTCCAGTTCCTGGGGATCCAACAGCCTTTTGTGTCATCTACAGGCATCACATGACACAGGTGCACTTACCTACATGCAGGCAATACATACATGCACATAAAAATTAAAAAAAAAAATTAACTGAAGATCAGGGTTTAACCTACTCTTCTTGCATTGTGCATTTACTGACAACCTGGAAAGACATGAATTCTTAATCATTTTTTCCCTAAAGGTTAATTTCAGGTCTTTTTTTTTAACATTTATTTTTTTATGTGTATGGACGTATGCCTGCATGTACATAAGCGCACCTCTGTCATGGAATGTCTGTGTAGGTCAGAAGAGGGTGTGGGATCCCCTGGAACTAGGGTTACAGACAGTTGTTAGCTGCCATGTGGGTGCTGGGATTTGAACCCAGGTCTTCTGCAAAAACAGTTAGTGTTCTTAATCACTGAGCTATCTCTCCAGCCTCTTTTTTGGTCTTTTTGAGACAAGGGTTTCCCTGTACCCCAGCTGACCTGGAACTCACTATGTAGACCAGGCTGGCCTTGAACTCACAGAGATCTACCTGCCTCTGCCTACTAAGTGCTGGGACTAAAAGGCGTGTGCCACCATGCCCAGCCAATTTCAGGGTATGCATGTTATTTATTTATTATTTATTTATTATTTATTTATTTATTTATTTATTTATTTATTACTTGTCTTTTTGAGACAGGGTTTCCCTGTAGCCCCAGTTGGCCTGGAACTCACTATGTAAGCCAGGCTGGCCTCAAACTCACAGAGATCAATCTGCCTCTGCCTCCCAAGTGCTGGGATTAAAGGCAGGTGTCACCATGCCTGGCTATATTTATTATTTTTATTTTATGTGTATGAGTGTATTACCTACATGTATGTGAGTGTACCAGTGTTGTGCAATGCCATGGAGGTCAGAAGAGGGCTTTGGATTCCCCTGGAACTGGAGTTAAGGACAGTTCATAGCCACCATGTGGGTACTGGGAATCGAACCCGGGTCCTCTGCAAGAGCAGTCAGTGCTCTTAATTGCTGAGCCATCTCTCCAGCCCCAATTTCAGGGTTTTTAAGCAAACATTTTCCCCTGCTTACTAGTCCACTCCCAGTCTCAGGACGCCTTCCCTTTAATTAATTATCTCTAGCTTTTTTTTTTTTTGGTCTTTTTGAGACAGGGTCTTCCTGTAGCCCCAGCTGGCCTGGAATACACTATGCAGACCAGGCTGGCCTTGAACTCACAGAGATCCACCTGCCTCTGCCTCCCGAGTGCTGGGATTAAAGGCGTGAGCCACCAGGCCCCGAAATTATGTCTAGTTTTACCTTTAAAAAAAAATAAAAAATTAGCCAGGCATGGTGGCGCATGCCTTTGATTCCAGCACTCAGGACGCAGAGGCAGGTGGATCTCTGTGAGTTTGATGCCAGCCTGGTCTACATAACGAGTTCCAGGTCAGCTGGGGCTACAGGGAGACCCTGTCTCAAAAAGACCAAAATAAAACCCAAAAAACTGGGGTTGAGAGATGGCTCAGTGGTTAAGAACACTGGCTGTTCTTGAAGAAGACCCGGGTATGACTCCCAGCACCCACATGGCAGCTAACAACTGTCCATAACTCCAGTTCCAGGGGATCCAGCAGCCCTCTACAGGCATTGCACGACACAGGTGCACTTATCTACATGCAGGTAATACACGCCTACACATAAAATAAAAAATAATAAATAAGTGCTCACTTTGGCAGCACATATACTAAAATTGCAACGATACAGAGATGATTATCATGGCCCCTGAGCAGGATGACACACAAATTCGTGAAGCATTCCATATTTTTCCAGCTGTGGCTACTACCTAGGGTTTTTATATGAGAAAAAGTGAATTAAGTCTGATTAATTAATTAATTAATTAATTAAATAGTTAAAAAAAAATGGTTGAGCTGGAAAGATAGCCCAGCAGTTAAGAGCACTCAATACTCTTCTTGCAAAGGATTCGGGTTCAATTTCTAGCACCCACATGGTGGCTAACAACCATCCATAACACCAGTTCCAGGGGATCCACACCGTCTTCTGACCTCCACAAGCAAGTGCACTTACACACAAGCAGGCAACAAACTCATACACATAAAATAAAAATAATAAATTTTTTTTTGTTCTTTTTGAAACAGGGTCTCCCTATAGCCCCAGCTGTCCTGGAACTCACTATGTAGACCAGGATGGCCTTGAACTCACAGAGATCTGCCTGCCTCTGCCTTCCGAGTGCTGGGACTAAAGGCGTGTGCCACCTCGCCCGGCTAAAAATAATAAATTTTTAAAAATTGGTTATGTGCCGGGTGTAATGCACAACTTTAATCCAGGCACTTGGGAGACAGGCAGGTGGTTCTCTGTGAGATCAAGGCCACCCTGTTCTACATAGTAAGTTCTAGACCAGCTGGGGCTATAGGGAGACTCTGTTTCAAAAAAAAAAAAAAGGCAGACCAAAAAGAAAAAAAAACCCTGCTTATTTCAACAACTATTTTTTCAGTACCTACTATGTGGCTAAACACCAGAGCTCTAGTACTGAACTAAACAGACAAAGGTCACTGGTCTCCCACAACTCACGTTCCAGTTATTAAAAATGGAAGTCAGGCTAGTTGTGGTAGCACATGGCTTTAATCACAGCACTCAGGAGGCAGAGGCAGGTAGGTCTCTGAGTTGTGAGTTCAAGGCTAAGAGTTCTAGGCCAGTAGGGGCAGCACAGTGAGCCTCTCTCAAAACAAACAAACAAACAAACAACAAAAGGCAGATTCAGGTGTGGTGGTGCACACCTCAGGATTCAGTAGGCAGTGGTAGAGGATTATTATAAATTCAAGATCAGCCTGGTCTGTGTAGATATCTCCAGGCTATCTAGGTCTACGAGATGAGGCCTTGCTTCAAAAATTAATAATAAATGAATAAATAAATAAGAAAAAATGAGGCAGATACTAGCTTGGAGGTAAGGAGACTTATCTAGCATATACAAAGGCCCTGGTTTCAATCCCCAAGACACACACACACACACACACACACACACACACACACACACACACACGCACGCACACAGGGCAGCAACCTCAGTTGCAGAGCTCTAAGTCCACATCCAAATAATCAAGAAAAAGCAAATGGGGACTGGAGAGACAGCTCAGAGGCTAAGAGCACTGGCTACTCTTCCAGAGGACCAGGTTCAATTCCCAGCACCCACATGGAGGCTAATAATTATCCATAACTCCAATTTCAGGGTATCCAACACCCTCTGTACAACATGGATTCACTTACACATATGCAGAAAAAACACTCATACACGTACAATTTAAAATTTGTTTTTTTTTGGTCTTTTGAGACAGGGTCTACCTTTAGCCCCAGCTAGCCTGGGGCTATACAGACCAGGCTAGCCTTGAACTGACAGAGATCTGCCTGCCTCTGCCTCCTGAGTACTGGGATGAAAGGTGTGCGCCACCATCCTTGGCCTTAATTTTATTTTTTTTAACAAATAAAAAAAGAGAAAGAAAAAAAAGCAACTATATCACTTCTATTACCAGAAACATCAAAGTTTGTTGACTTTTCTGGGAGCTCTGTGGGTACGGAGGTGAAACAGATAAGAGAGTCATGCCTATATATCCAGAACAGACAAATGGCTCAAGACTGTCAAACTAGGGCTGAAGAAATG